ACAACTGGACCAGCGAGTGGTATCATGATAAATGGAGAAAAGATTGAAGTTGTCGAGGTTTTCAATTTACTTGGTCCTGTGGAAACAGCAGTCAGGAAATCAAATGATGTATTGCATTGGGCATGTTTGCTACAAAATAACCTCTTTTAAGGTGTTAGAAAGCAAAAGTGTCACTTTGAGGACTGAGGTGCACCTGACACAAACCGTGATATTTTTATTTGCCTCATACTCATGCAACAGCTGGACGATGAATAAGGAAGACCAAAGAAAAATTGATGAATCTCAGTTATGGTGTTGGCAAAGAATATTGAATATACCACAGATTGCCTGAAGAATGAACAAATCTGTCTTGGAAGTACAGCCAGAACGCTCCTTAGAAACTTAAGATGTTGGGACTTAAGTCTCACTTACTTTGGACATATTATCAGTAGGGCCCAGTGCCTGGAGAAGGACATCATCTTTGGTAACTAGAGGGTCAGCAAAAAAAAAAAAGAAGACAGACCCTTAACAAGATGGGTTGACATAATGGCTGCAGCAGTGGACTCAAACATAGCAAGGATTGTGAGGAGGGCGCAAGGCAGTCCGAGTTTCATTCTGTTGTGTGTTGTGCGTAGGGGTGTTATGAGTTGGAACCAACTTGACAGCACCTAACAACAACAAAGACCAATAGAATGTCTCCTGTATTTTCCTAACTTACAAATTCAGGAAGTTGGTGTAGATTTGAGCAGTGACTAATGGACGTGAAAATGGTTGCTTAAGCATCTTGACCAGCTTCTGGCTTAACCGCCTGCTGTGGATTGAATTGTGTCCCCAGAAGATAACGTATCGTAAATCCTAACCTCTGTGCCTGTGGTGTAGTGGTGTAGTGCCTAAGGCATTTGACTGCTAACCAGAAGTCTAGAGGTTCAAGCCCACCAGCCACTCCTCAGAAGGAAGACTAGGCAGTGTACTTCCTTAGAGATACTGGCTCAGAAACCCAAGGAAGGGTTGCTATGAGTCACATCAACTTGATGGCAGTGAGTGTGGTTGGGTTTATTTTATGCTTGTGGTTATAGTCCCATTAGGAAATGGGTTGTTTTTGTTTTGTTAATGAGTAAGGATTGATAAAGGGTGTTTCTGGAGTCAGTCTCTTCTGAGATGTGAGAGAAGGCAAGCACAAGGAGATTGCTTAGGAGCAGAAGGTCAGAAGAGACGAGGACAAGGACGTTCCTCCAGAGCCAGCGGGGGGGGCGGGGGGAGCCTTCCACTGGAGCTGGTGCCCTGAAGTCCAACTCCTGCCCTTCTAACCTATGACAAAATAGACTTCTGTTTGTTAAAGCCGTCTACTTGTGGTATTTCTGTCATAACAGCATGTGATAACTAAGACACTGCCTTCCTTGAAGGCATTCCTCTCCATTTCTAATTAAAAACCTCACCTGTGTTCCTACTATTGATGTTGTTGAGGGCATTTTTTGTCTTTCTACTCATGGAATCCAGGCATGGCCAAACAAGCAGGAGGGTTGGGATTCTATGATAGAAAACCTGGGCTGCGGCCCCTGGTGCAAAGGCACATCTGTGATGAGAAATTTTAAATTTTTGTGCAAAAAGAATGTAGAGGGATTTTGTTTTTTGGAATGTGCTTTCCCTGAAGTACCATCAGACTGGAGAGACGATAGCTGATTTATGACTTCATGACGTGTTAACCATGATGCGTCATTTTGTCTTCAGCACTGCTGGTCAGTAAAATAGTGGGCAGGGAAATGAGACTTTTGCAAAAGGAATGTTTTAAGGAATTTCATACTAGTTTTATTGTACTCAGGAAGGCATTCTGTGTTTAATAAGGGTTCCTTTTGTTGTTGTTTTATATTTATTTTGGGAGACTATTAATCCAGCAAGCGTAAGAATAATTTACTTTTTGCTGCCTTTTTTAATGAAAAATCTGTTTTAAGCAGTATTTCTTCAGTCGCTGGGTTTTGCATGTTTGTTTATTGTTGTTGGGTGCTGTTGAGTTGTTGCCAGCTTATGGCCACCCCACATGTGCAGAGTAGAGGTGTGTGCCTCCTTACCTGTCAGCCTGCTTAATATTTGTAAGAGTGCACCGCTCTTTACTGAGCATCCCTTTGCTTGACTAAGAAGTTACTGCCGAGGACTGTTGGAATATCAGAAGGCCACAGGTAGCTGCGGTCATCTGCAGGTGAGCTTGACCGTGAAGATCCCTGGAGCTGCTCTTAGTTACTGTAGACTGTTCCGCGCCCTTCTTTCTCGTGGTACTGCCATTTTACTCCCGTGGCGCATCCCCCAGTGATACCAGCTGCAGTCCCTACTACCCTACTTCCCCAGGGGCATCTTGAGGTTGGAGGAGAGATTATCAATGGTTCCTGACAGATTTCTATCATTTTTCTTTTGACCTTCTACACTGCTGGTTAGTGGAACACAGAGTTTTGTTCTGGGCACGTACCTAGTGTTACTCTAACCCTCCTGGGAAAATGGAAGTCCATCTGCACTTTTCATCTCTTTGCTGGCAAGAGCCACATAGTCCTGTTGGTCCTGTCCCAGAAATTCTGCCTGTTAGCTTTCTGCAGAGATTGACCAGCAGAGTGCTTGCACTCTTGAGGCTTTTTGCCAGTAAGCCTTTGACCCTATTCACCTTTTCTCTTTGTATGCTATTTACCCCAGTTCTGACTGAATTTGTTTAGTTTTCTAGGCATTGGACCAGCTTTGGCAATAGGGGGCTTGAATAAGTTCAGTAGGGAAGCATCTTGTTCTTGACACACTGCCACAGACCGGTTTGCTCCTCACAGTTTCACTGAGAGCTGCAGTCACTTGACAAGCAGGGCATTCTGTCCTGAAGATCGTGCATTTGTCTACAGACGGCTGAATTTAAACACTCAGTTCCAGAGAACGAGAATGTTCGTACACCTGTGCTTCCTGGAGACAGGCAGGCCTTGTACACTTTGTGCCACAGTAATTGAGAGGGAGCTGTTACAGATTGAATTATGTCCCCAAAAAATCATGTGTCATAAATCCTAACGCTAAATCTGTAGTCATAATCCCATTCGGGAAGGGGTTGTCTTATGTTAGTAAGACAGGATTAGTGTAGGATGTTCTTGAGGCAGTCTCTCTGAAAATAAAAAAGAGATTAAACAACAGCAGAGATGGGGGAAGTGAGACGCCAGGCCACAGGAAGATCACTGCCCAGGAGCCGAAGCTCAGGGAGGCGAGGGCCTTCCTCCAGAGCCAGCAGAGTCCTTCCCCGAGAGCCGGCACCCTGCGTTCAGGCTTCTGGCCTCCCAGACTGGGAGGAAATACATCGTCTGTTTGTGAAAGCCACTCATGTCCCTGATAGCCCCACTGGACAACCGAGACGGGTGTGACACGCACTCTGGCTGCCTGCCGACGTGGGCAGCACAGTGAGCCCCCAGCTCACGCCGGAGGTTTAAATCCTGCCTGCTCTGGCTCAGCTACAAATGACTTTGTTTCGTTTCTCTCTCTCTCTCTCACTCACTGTGGAATGAGAGTGAAGCCTCTTACATAAAGCAAGGAGAGAAACTGGGGAATGGAGAATGTGTCCACCATGATACACGACAACAAGAAAAGCTGCTTTCGTGTGTGTTGAGTTACTGCAGTGACGCCAGCTCAGTCCTTCAGATCCAGATCATGTGAGGAATGTGGGAGGGCTTTACCCGGACCCGGGGAAACTGAGCCTCATCGTCCTTCGCCCGTCACACTGCTATCTGCTATCGGAGATCTGGGCTTTGAGGACACAGCACCTGGCTCTGGGCAGTGTTTTTTCTGCAATAGTTCCCTCTACTTTTATGCACCTTTTAAATGTAAAAACTTGGCCTTTAAAACACTTTAGTACCTGAGATAATCTTTAAACCTTAAACCAAAAATATGCCCTGGAGTCTTAACTAGTGAAAGAAAACTCGCTGTCTTCAGCATTCTGATCTTTCTTAAGAGTTATCTGTGTGGGATTAACCGCAACTGTGAAGATTAGATAGGAAACTAGTGGGCATTGAGTTTATATTGGCAGGGGAGGAACAGCTTGGGAAAGGAGGGCAGGAATGGTTGCACAACTCAAAGAATGGGGTCGCCGCCACTGACTGGGACATGCAGAAACTTGAATTGGTGTGTGTTTTGCTGTGTGTTCTCAACAATAAAATAAAAGTTTTCAAAATACCAAAAACTTACTAATAACAGTCCCATAAGAACTCGTGGTGCTTGCCCTAGTAACTAGGCCCTCACAGAACATCAGGAACTCCTGTCCTGCCCCAGCAAGTTCACATCCACTCACACCCCTTCTGCCCCCATGGCGATGAGCAGGACCATGTCTTCCAGGCCCTGTCTCAGGTGCAGTGTTCTAATTATCCTCGTGTAGTAGTTTGCTTTATTTCCACCTGGAACACTCATTTGTGATTTTGGTACATAAGGGTATGTTCTGGTTATCTAGTATCTCTCTGACAGAAATATACCACAAATGGGATGGCTTAAACAAATAGGAGCTTTAGGAGCTTATTCTTACAATTGGGAGGCTTTAAGTCCAAGTTCAAAGTGCCAGGCTCTAGGGGCTAGGTGAAAGCCCCTCAGCCTTGGACTTCACCTCTGCCTCCATCTCCCGGCCCACTGAAGCTAGAGGCTTTCTGCCAAGCCCAAGGTTGACAAGTAAAATGGCGCCGTCCCAATATTACCAAACCACCCAGCAGGCCATTAATTTACGTCCATTGTAAGACCCCAGGTCAGCAGAGCATGGCAGGCTGCTGAACAGCGACACAGCTACATGCAGGGTCCAAGCGTGCCATAAGCTAGAGACCATTCCCAAAGCTGTTTCTTATATATAGGAAGTAGTCCACATACCCAAAGGCAGCTACTCAGCTGCTCACAGTAGATTCCACCATGGAGTTGATTACCAGTCTCATCATGGGGAATACTACATCCAGCTGCCCAGCCACTCACCCAGGCCCAGCCAAGTTGACACACAAACAGAATTACCACAGGGTACAAGGTGGAGTTGCCTCTAAGAATTTGAAACCCAGTACTCGAGTCTGAAGCAGAAAGAAAAAAGTAACATCCAATGACATAATCCACTTACGTAAAGTGTGAATGATAGCGTTCAAGTTCATGTGCTTGATTCTGTCCCGGGACCAGTTTACTATATTGATGCTGGTAGAGAAAGTTCCAGCATAAAGCATTGTTTAAGTGGACTTTTGCTTAATAAAGAAAATAAATATGTAACTAGACGCAAGAGTGTGTGATTATTTGTGGCTTCTTTTTCCCTTCCACCACCCTTCTCCTGACCCCACCACCTGCTGCTCGTGGTTTCCTGCGAAGAAAACGCTGAGCCAGACCTGGACGACAACGAGGATGAGGATGAGCCCGCTGTGGAAATCGAGCCAGAGCCAGAGCCGCAGCCCGTGGCCCCGCCACCGCCCGCCAAGAAGCGGAGAGGACGGCCTCCCGGCAGAACCAACCAGCCCAAACAGAGCCAGCGTGAGTTGCTTGTCTCCCTTAGAGCTTGGGAGGGTGGCACCGTCTGCCAGTGTGTGGGGGACAGGCAGGTTCTTGTTCTTTGGGAGGACGGAAAACAGACCCTGAGAACAAGGCAGGTTATGTCGGGAACAGGCTCTCAGAAGGCAGTCATTCGGACTTTTTAATGGGGAACATCTGAGTCCATGTCTAGAGCCTATGACATCTCAGAAAGGAAGAGTCCACAGAGGAAGGGAGCTTCTGCTCTACAAGAGGGTGCTATTAACTGGGTGGGGCCTGCAAAACCATGCAGTCACACCCAGCTGGCAGAACTGACATGGTAATGAACGTGAAGGAGCTGAAGTGGAAAGGATGGAGAGAGGAAGTAGGTTCTGTGCTGAGAACGTCCCTCAGGCGTGTGGATTCAGGCAGTGGCCACCTGATGTACGGGAAGTCCCCTCACACCACCACACCACATATGAACGGTAGACGGCATCCTCATGCCGAACAGTCCTCAGTACGAGGGACTCAGTTCTCCTCTGTCTCGATCCCCTTCTGAAGGCTGGTGACTTAGTTTAAGTCACTGTGGTGGGCTTTTTTTTTTTTTTAATACAAAGAATCTTTTTATCCCATGCTCTCCCTGAATCCCTACATAAATGTCATAAAAGGGAACTTAACTGTAGACCCTGAGAGTCAGCCTTTCTCGTTTCACCTGCACATACTTGGAACGATAAAACCAGTGGGAGGACCCAGGTGAGAGCTTCGGAATTTAAGGATGTCTGTCTCCTTGCTGTAAGTGGAGAACCATCTATAAAGTAAACTGACATCAAACACTGTGAACGTTCTTCGTTGTGTGCGGTTTGTCTGCCCGTCTGCAGTTTGCCCGCCGCTCACATGATGGTGAAGCTCAGATTTGTGACACACTAAAGCTAGAGATTTCCATATGTAACTTCCATATGTTGAGGATAACATCAACATTTTGTTCTTGGGAGTTTCTGGCATTATTGAGGCTTTATGTATAGCCACACTTAGGCCTGTACATCTTTATTTTTCTGATTTGCTCTCCCTGCTAAGGCTTTTCTAGATTGCTGACATCCCAGTCAACTCCCACCAGTCTAAAGAGACCTCTAGTCTTGGCTTTAACGTAGCATTTGTTTCATTCATTCTCTTTTTTTGCCAGCAACAGCCATCATTCAGGTGGAAGACCAGAATACAGGTGCAATTGAGAACATTATAGTGGAAGTCAAAAAAGAGCCAGATGCCGAGGCTGCCGAGGGCGAGGAGGAGCCCCAGCCCGCTGCCACGGACGCCCCCAACGGAGACCTCACGCCCGAGATGATTCTCAGCATGATGGACCGGTGATGGCGGCGCCGCGCTCAGCTCCAGGACTGCTCGGGGCTGTGTTTAAACGGCCTGCATCTTAATTTCTCTCCCTTCTTTCTTCTTTTGACTTTGGGAAAAAGCATCATTTTACACCATTTTACCAAACATACTGAGAACTAAAACTTCAAGAATGATGTTAGGAAAATGTGATTTCACTAGGACTTGCTGTTTGATGTTAGCAATCATGGAATGTTCTGAGTCCCTGAGGGTTTACTGTGACGTGCTGAGGACAGTGGTGGTGCCTGACTAGTTTCCTCAGCTGGAAACAGAGACATCGTACCCTCCCTTTTGCTACGGTAAACCACTCCAGAATGGCCACCGGGTTTCCCAGAGTTCTATGGTCTTCTTCCCAGGAGAGTTTTTAATTGTAAATGCAAACTTGGGAAGGACTTAGACTTTTAAACTGTTTTTGCTTTGCTTTTCCCTGACTCCCTTTGCTGGGAGTCAGCTGCACACCAGTAGTATGGCATGCTACGACCGGTTTCTGCCCTCAAAGCTTTGCCTCTTTCTTGGCAAAGTTTCTGGTATGGTCAAGCTTGTAAATAACTTTTTTTACATTTTAATCTTTTCCATTAATTAAGAAGTGCAGTGTAAGAAAACCCAGCAATTTAATTACTTGCAAATTAAGTGACCACAGACTCTGTAGTGTGTAAATGTCGACAAAGAATTGGATTACAATCATGTAGCAGAACAGCACCCAGACTGCTGCCCGCTTGTGACGGACACCCACGTGGAAGATTGTGATTTCCAGCCCGTGGAGCCAGCATTTGAACCTTGTACAATTAGCTTTCAGTTATGATTTCCCATCTACATTTTCTTTGCTCTGTTTGTAGCTGAATTTGAGTTTTGTAACTCCTCTGTTCAAGCAGAAGGGTGATTATGAGTGGGTCACAGCAGCCCTTCAAAAGCTGGGCCACAAAATTTCACTAGGTCAGTAATTTAAACTTTGGATCTTCAAAAATAAAATAATAATAATTGAAACCAACTAAAGTGATTCTTGCACATGAACTGTCACGCGCTGAGATGGGTTTTTAGAGTGCCACCAGCGCAGCCGTCTTGCTGATTTCAAACCCTTTTTTCTTCTGTGTATTGCTTTTAAGAGCCATCAGTTAGCTATCAGACTCTAGGTTGATGCATTTTGTACTTAGCTGTACTGTGTGATATTTTTCATTATTTTAGGACGCCAACATGAGACCTGTAATAAAATATGTAATGGGTTGAAAGCTGGGGAGGAGAATCTACTGCTGTACAGCTAATAAATCATAATGGATTAACAAGTGCTCCGAACCCTCCGTCTTGTGTGATTCCTGCCTGGTGGGGGGCTGGGTCCTCCCGGAGGGGCACCACATTCTACCAGGTGGAGCCATGCAGGCCTCCTGGCCCTTCAGAGGCAAGCTGTGTTCCCCAGACGCCACTTCCTCTCTGGCAGAAGGGAGGAGGCGAGCTTGGCAGATGACAGGATGTTGAGTGCATCGTGCTGCGAGTGGAACTCCTTGAAAGTGTAATAGAGAGGTGAGTGGGTGGGCAGCGGCCAGCACCACAGTCCACCTTAGGAGCAATCCCAGCTACTCACCAGGGGGAAGGAGCTTCCTGTACTGTCCAGGCAGGTAGAGGGCTCCGGAAAACATGTAAACCAGAACTTTGGAACCCGGGACTGGGCAGTTAGCTAGCTCATTGAATGAGTGGTGTGGCCGCAGGCTGTTAGAGCTCATGCTTCTGGTCCACAGCCTAACCCCCAACCGGGCCAGTGCTTCTTACCAGAGTTGGTCCAGGAGGCTTGTACCTTAAAATGCTAAGTTTGTACTTACTGTAATAGAAAATCTCCTTGCAGAACAGTGAAGCATATATATTTTCTTAACAGTTTCTGATTACAACATTCAAATTGAAAGTTTGGAAATGGATTTGTTTTGGTTGGAGAGGGAAAAAGAAAAGTGACATTCTGATGGTGTTAAGAGTCAAAAGGGGGTCCCATAGTATAGCCCAACAATGTCCTCTGTGGACTCCAAAATAAAACTAGTGGCAGTGCCATCAAGTCGATTTCAACTCCTGGTGACCCCATGTGACAGAAGAATTGCCCCAGAGGGTTTGCTAAACTGTAATCGAGAGCAGATTGCCGGGTCTTCTTCAGTGCTGGTGAGTTCAAGCCACCCCCCTTTGAGCTGGAAGCCACAGGTTAACCAGTGGACCACCAGAGCTCCTTCAGCCACTACCATTCCATGCAAAAGAGTGTGGTGGGGAGTTTCCCTAACCTGGGCAGCGCCCTCTTCAGTGTTGGACTATAATCCATTTCCTTTTCACATGGGTCACCCTGTCCCTGCTGCCCAGCGCAACCAGCTGTCATGCTGTCATGCTTCTGGTCGTGTGTGTGAGAAAAATGTACACAGCTAAGGATACCATTTCAACGGTTTATACAATTTAGGGACGTTGATTACATCCTTTATTTTGGTGAATTTTGACAATGGTTATATATAATAAAACGTATCTGGGCAACAGTCTTCACAGGTGCAGCTCAGTGCCGTTAATGTTCATCTCAGTAAACTATCACCCTTATCCATCCCCAAATCTTTACATCACCCTTAACTATCCTTTGAAAACCATCAGAGGTGAACTCTGCCCTGAGAGGTAGCACCTGGCCCACCCTGGAGGTAGGGCCCATCCCCATCCTGTTACTCAGCTGGCAGTTTTATTCCTCCCTCTTCATGAGCTTTTAGCATTTCCTGAGCACCCACGGAGTGCCACACTGTCCAGAACACAGATGAGCTTGTACAAGCTGAAGGCCTATTCCTCCCTGAGTCACTGTTGCCTGTAGGAACTGAGGCCATGTGTTCACTTGGGCTTTGCTATCAGTTGTCATGTTCTGTCACTACTGTCCTGACCACCAGCAGTTACAGGAAAATGTGGCCAGCCCCACAGCCCTGCCCTGATATTCTCGGCAGCCCCTGGTGGCCCCAAGTGTGGGAGCACTCACTGGACCCATCCCAGCCAGTGTTGCTGCTAGCCTGAGAGCCCACTCTTGGGGAGCAGCTTCTTGGAGCCCTTTGGCAGTCATTCCCACTTGTAGTTCTCTCAGCCTTGTCATTCTAAACAGAAAAGTCCCCACATGGTGGGCTTTCTATAGTTCTGTTTTGGAGTCTCAGGATTGCCATGGTAGACCTGGCAAATACGATTGTACACCGAGTGCTAGGCACTGTTGTGAGCACTTCTTTTATTAAGCATTTAGTCCTTATAGCAACACTTAGAGGTAAGTTACTAGCTCCTGTTTACAGAAAACTAGAGGCCCAGAGAGGTTAAGTAACTTGTTCAGTGTCAAACAGCTGGTAGGAGGTAGAGGTAGTATTTAAATAAGCAGAATACCTTTAGAACCTGTTATTTTTGGCCACTTTGACATACTATAACTTAGGTAAGACTTACTGAGTTCTCACCCCACAAGCAGTCTGGGGATTCTATGTTGTCTTAAAAGCAGTCTTAGACTTTAATCCTAATTCTCCTTTCAAACAAGAAGGCAGAGTAGGGCCTCCTCTTGCTTTGTATGAACTTACAGCACCTTCTCCACCTGAGTCTTCACCTGTCAGCCCTTAGCTATCACACTGTGTTCCTGTTGCTTAACTAGAGGACACTTGCCCCAAGCGGCTACTAATCAGGTTCTACTTTCCACCAGGTCCCAGCCTTTGGGAAATCTCAGCAAGTGAGAAATGAGATTTTTTTTTTTTTTTTTTTTTTGAGGGGGAGGGTGGAGGTCAGCTGACTAGAGGATGCTGTTGTTCCCACTGTCTCCAAGTGCCAAGGAACGGTGGCTAGAGATAGAGAAGAAGCTGAGGAATCACTGCCTTGTACCTCTTACCTGCTCTCTGGGTTGCACCTGCCTGTGTTATGGACAGAAGACTGCTCCTTGTCTCGTAAGTAGAGTGTGATTAGATTGTAATGGAAGAACGATATTCCTGAGAACCCTCTAGAATCTAGGTCCTTGGTCTTTCATAGTGCAGCATGTGTCTCTTCATACCACAGATGGTTAAGAGGTTGACGACTAACAAGAAGGTTGGTTCAAATCCATCGAGAGGCACCTGGGGTGAAAGGCCTGGTGACCTACTTCTGAAAGGTCACAGCCATCAAAAACAACTGAGTGGGGTTCCACTCAGAAACACATGGGGTCATCATGAGTCAGAATCCACGGGATTGCAGAAACTGGTTTTATGCTGCTGGCTGACAAGCCCCTTCTCCTGTGACCTTTTGACCCCTCCATGCCCTGGAGAGCCTTGACTAGAGGATGGTTCCTCCTCCCAACTCACTATCCCCTGAGATACCTGGCTTTTGTTCATGAGTCACTGTGGTGGTTATATTTTTGTGTCAACTTGGCTAGGCCTGGTTGAGTGCCTGGGCAGCTGTGATAGTTATTCCCCATGATGAGACTGGCAATCAACTCCATGGTGGGATCTATCACAAGCAGCTGAGTAGCTGCCTTAGGGAATGTGGTCTGCTTCCTGTATTTAAGCAGAAGCCTTTGGATTGGTCTTTAGTCTAGGGCACGCTTGAGCCCTCCATATAGCCATGTTGTTGTTCAGCAGCCTGCTAGCTCTGCCAACCTTGGGACTTACAATGGACTTAAGTTAATGGCCTGTGGTGTGGTTTGATAACATCGGGACTGTGCCTTTTTACTTGTCAACCTCGGGGTTTCACAGCCTCAGCAACCAGCAGCTGTCTGAATGAAGAAACGCCTCTAGCTCCAGTGGGCCGGGAGTAGGAGGCAGAGCTGGACCCTCAGGTTGAGTGGCTTTCACCCAGCCCCTAGAGCCTGGCGCTTCAAACTTGGACTTAAAGCCTCTCAATTGTAAGAATAAACTCCTCTTTGGTAAGGCCGTCCCATTTGTGGTATGTATTCTTGTCAGAGTGGCACTAGATAACCAGAACAGTCACCTTCCCTGATCCCCTTGGCTTTCAGGCCCTTAGCCCAAGGCAGGCCCCCTGAAGATCCTCGCTACTCAAAGCCAAAGACTCTCTGCTGCAGAGAAGGGCTTCTGGACCCACTCAACGTTTTCACTCACTTTCGAAAGTTCGTGGATTCCTGACACCTCAGTTTCGGAGCAACAGGATAGTACCCCCAGGTGTTTGGAATGCTGAGACTCGACACCCCTGAGCGAACATCCCGCTGTCCGGCCCCTGGTTCACCTTCCCAGTCAGGGCTTGAAGGAGTTAGTCTCAGGGATCCCCGGGCGGGCAGCGTCGCCTGGTGCTCACGGCAGGGACTGCGCTGCGCGGTAAGGTAGGGGGCTAGACACGGCGAGGGGCGTGCAACACACGCGCTCCTCTTGGCCACACTAATCCCCACCACCCCCGTAGCTGCCCTCATGGAGAAGCTCCTCCGCGACGGGGCACAGGCAGGCGGCTGGGGTTCTGTTCCCCTCTCATACCTTCGTACCCGGGCGGGGTGGAGCCGGGCCGGGGGCGGCCTGGCAGGAAGCCGCGCGCACCTTCCGCTGCTGGAGGAGCGGGTGGCTGCAGAGCGGGCCGGCCCCGCGCTTCCTGTGTGCGCGCCTGCCCGCTGCTGTTTCCCGCCGGAGCTCGTCGGGCCACCCCGGCCACCCTGGCCGGGCCCCATGGCCCAGACTTCCGACGGCATATCCAGCGAGCTTCGAGGTAAGAGTGCCCTGCAGCTGGGAGGAGGCAGTGCAGCCCCCAAACCAGGGCCCACCGGTCCCCGGTGCACTCGGCGAGTTCTCCCTGCTCTTCCGGAAAGCTTGGCCCCACGGCTCCCCTCCACTTCTTCCTGGCTGGCCCGCAGAGGAGCCCTAGGCCCCAGCCTGGCAGAGACTTGGCCACAAACTGGCCTCAAGGAACAACCAAAGTCACCCAGCAAGCTGCTCTTCCACAGGCGAAATCACCAGGTTCCTGTGGCCAAAGGAGGTGGAGTTACTGCTGAAAGCCTGGCTGCCTGAGCGGGAGGGTGCTGAGCAAAGTCATATCCTGGTATGGCCGCAGGCAGGGGGCAGAGCCTAGCAAGGAGGTGGCTGCTGGGGCCCAGGCAGAAAGAGCCGCTTGCCCTTTCTGCCCCGGGTGTCAAACCTTGTCTCCCCACAGGCACTGTTGCGATGGAGAGCCTACCTGCTCCACACCTGCCTTCCCCTGAGGGTGAGTCCTGGAGCCTGGCCGCCACTTCTGTTGTCCCAGCAGCTGACCCTCTAGGCAGCAGAGTTGTCTGTCTTGTCCTGCTGGGCCCTGGGGTTTCCAACAGCACCGGGCTCCCGGCAGCTCTGGGTCCAGGGTCCCATGAGGGTGAGTTTCTGGGCTTGGTCCTGGCTGATGCAGTTGCTCCCTAGGTGGACTGCACATTCAGCTACCTGGAGGTCCAGACCATGGCGCTGCAGGAGACACCCCCTCAGGTGAGGCACCTAGGACCCCTCGCCATGGTCTGGAATCCAGCCCCACCCCCTCCCGCCTCACGCATGGAACCAAGGCCCGGCCACACTCCCTCCCCAGGTCACCTTTGAGCTGGAATCCCTGCCTGAGCTGGTCCTGGAGTTTCCTGGGGTGGCTGCCTTGCAGCAGCTCGCCCAGCACATCACTGTGGCCATCAAGAAGGTCTTCCCCCGGTCGGCCCTCAGGTGAGGCCCGGCAGCTGCAAGGGGTAGTCTGGAAGGAGGGTGGGGTGGGTCTGCTGTGGATGGACACAGTGGGCTGCCTCACATCTCAGGGGCTAGCGGTCCCTTGCCCGTCCTTCTTCACCACTCCCCCAGAAAGCTATTCCGGAGGCCCACACCCACCTCGATGTTGGCTCAGCTGGAGAGAAGCAGCCTCTCAGAGGCCACCTCGCCTGGCAGCCCCTGTGGTAAGGACCAAGCAGGGCTACTCAGAGCTGCTGCCTGTCCCACTCTGCAACTCTCGACTCCTGGGGTTAGGGGTTCCCAAGCTGAACACAGCCCCTGGGGTCACAGCCACCACCCAGCCTGGATCTGATCTTTATCTCTGTCCATATGTCTCTCTCCCTCCACTTTCATACTCCTGGCATGTCCCCAGGTGGCTTCTTGGAGACCTACGAGGCTCTGTGTGACTACAATGGCTTCCCCTTCCGAGAAGAGATTCAGTGGGTGAGGGTAGGGCCCTCTCTGGAGGCTCTGGAATCATCTGATCCCCTGGGTGAGCTGAACCCCTACACACACTTCCTGGTCCCAAGCTGGTTATAGACACTTTGTTCCTGTCCAGGACGTGGACGCCGTCTACCATCGTCAGGGCTGCCGCCATTTCAGCCTAGGAGACTTCAGCCACCTCAGTAGTCGGTGTGTGGCCTGCCAGCAGTGAGGGGGATGTGTATTTCTAGGCTCAGCCTCTCCACGGGTGGGAGTGCTGGGCTTGGGATCTGGCCTGAGGGTCCTGAGCTCTGCCCACCCCTATCCCCCCAACCCAGGGACCTGGCCTTGAGCGTGGCTGCCCTGTCCTACAACTTGTGGTTCCGGTGCCTCTCCTGTGTGGACATGAAGCTGGTGAGGGCCTAGGGGCAGGGAGGGGCCTCGGGAGTGCTGGGCCCAGGGTGCTGCGCACTGAACCTCCCTCTGGTTCTCAGAGCCTCGAGGTCTCAGAACAGATTGTGCACATGATGAGCCAGTCGTCCCACCTGGAGGAGCTGGTGCTGGAGACCTGTGGCCTGAGGGGGTGAGGGGAGTCACGGAAGGATACAGGAGATGGGACGGGGAGCCTGGAGTCTTGCAGTTGGGGTGCTGGTGGGCTGGGGAGGACTTGGGAATCCAGGGTGAGGGTCTCACCCTGGGGTCTGGTCCCCAGAGACTTTGTCCGGCGGCTGGCCCAGGCAATGGCAGGGAACTCGAGCTCTGGGCTGCAGGAGCTCAGCCTGGCAGGGAACCTACTGGATGACCGAGGTAGGGCTGAGCCTGGGGAACCTGGGGCTAGCAACTGGAGAGGGTGAGACCCACATGGCTGCTGTGTCCCCTAGGCATGGCTGCACTCAGCAGATACCTAGAACAGCGTCCGGAAGCCCTGAGGAGACTTAGTCTATCACAGACGGGGCTCACGCCTCGAGGTAGGCTGGGCGAGGGGGGCCGGGGGGGTGGAGGTTCTGCTGATCACTGAGCACCTGCTCCAACCACCAGGGCTGAGGGCCCTGGGTCGGGCACTGGCCACCAACGTGGCCTTCGATTCTGTCCTGACCCACCTGGACCTTTCTGCAAACCCTGGGGCTCTGGGGCCCTCAGAAGACAATGGGGTAAGTAGCTGTCTTCAGGTGCAAATATGGGAGTACACCGAGCAATGGGGTGTCAGGGAGCTCCTGGAGGCCAGCTCTCACCCTGCCCTCTCATATCTACCCTCCCATCAGGGCTTCTATAGTTTCCTGAGTCGTCCTAATGTTCTGAAGTTTCTCAATCTCTCAGGCACCGAAACGGCTCTGGACACTGTGAGGGGGCAGTCGGTGGGAGGGATGGGTGTGGTTGGGGCCAGGCCTCAACAATGTAGACTGGAGGGCAGAGCTGGGCTGGGGCTAGGCTCAGTCCGCCTGCTAGTGCACCCTCTGCCCACAGCTCTTTGCAGCGCTGTCCCACGGCTGCTGCACCAGCCTTATTCACCTCAACGCTTCGAGGAACGTCTTCTCCCGCACGTAAGGGGGCCTTTCGGCACGGGGAGGGGTGGGATGCCAGGAGCTGCCTTCCTTTGTGCGGAAGCCCACTTCCCGCTCCCCCACCCAGGAAGTCCAGGGCTGCACCGGCTGCGCTGCAGCTGTTCCTCAGTCGCACGGGGGCGCTGCAACACCTGGGCCTGGCGGGCTGCAAGCTGCCGCCCGAAGCTCTCAGGTCAGTGTCTCTGCCAATAGCTTGCCCCTTGCTATGTGGCCACCACCCAGGCCAGGCCGACCCTTCAGCGCCTCAGTCCACACCTATCGCACCCATCACCTCCTTCCCTCTTGCCCTGCCTTCTTTGGTACTGACTGCACAGGTGCAGGCCCTGACTTGGCCCCGCTCCTCATCTGGGGCATTACCCGTTTCAGAGCCCTGTTGGAAGGCCTCGCGTTCAACACGCACATAAGAGATCTGCACCTGGACCTCAGCGCTTGTGAGGTGAGCGCCTTGCCACACACGGTGGGCCCACCTATTCCTGGTGGAGCTGGGAGGCCGTGGAGACCCCCACCCCGCCCCATTCTTCACCTGGTGGCCTGAGTTCCTCCCACCTCCTTCCTCCAGCTGCGCACCGCAGGCGCTCAGGTGATACAAGACTTGGTGTGCGACGCGGGCGCCTTGAGTTCCCTGGATCTGGGGGACAATGGTGAGGCCGGCCAGAAACCCCATCCTTCCATCCTCCACCCAGTTTCCAACCCCCGACCCCACCTCACAGCCCTGCCTACCTAGTCTGTGACCCGAGCCACCCCCAGGCTTCGGCTCAGACATGGTGACTCTAGTGCTGGCCATCGGGAGAAGCCAGTCCCTACGACATGTGGCGCTTGGGAGGAACTTCAACGTCCGGTGCAAGTGAGATCCCACCCCACTCTTGGGCCTCCCAGGAAGCACCCCATCACCTGGTCCCCCCCCCAACAGCAGCCCCTGCCCACAGGGAGACCCTGGACGACGTCCTGCACCGGATTGTCCAGCTCATGCAGGACGACGACTGTGTGAGTTTACGGCACCTTGTGGGGTCCTCGGGCAAGGGACCCTTGTGGCCCCCTGACTCCTGCTCCCCAGACCCTGTGACCTGCCCTCCGTGCTGACTCCAGACTCCATCAATGGCTTTCTCTTAACCACAGCCCCTGCAGTCTCTGTCTGTAGCTGAGTCGCGGCTGAAGCTGGGCGCCAGCGTCCTGCTCCGGGCCCTGGGCACCAACCCTAACCTGACAGCGCTGGATATCAGCGGAAATGCCATGGGGGACGCTGGTGCCAAGATGCTAGCCAAGGCGCTGCGGGTCAACACTAGGCTCCGGTGGGCGGGGTCGGAATGGAGGGGTGGGACCAATGGGAGAGGAGGGCGCAGCATGGAGGGGTGTGGCCAAAGGGAGAGAAGCCAATGGACGGATGATGGGCGGGGTGTAAAAACCGGGCTAATGGGCGGGGCAGAATGAGGCGGAGCAAATGGAGCGGGTTAGTGAGTTGGGCCAACCGATAGTACTAGCGGGTTGGGTGGGGCCATGAAGAGTTCAGCCCCAGACTGAAGCCGGGCCGGCCCGGCCCAGGTCTGTAGTCTGGGACCGGAACCACACGTCTGCGCTGGGCCTGCTGGACGTGGCGCAGGCCTTGGAGCAGAACCGCAGCCTGAAGGCCATGCCTCTGCCACTGCAAGATGTGGCCCAGGCGCAGCGCAGCCGCCCAGAGCTGACTGCACGTGCAGTGCACCAGGTGGGTGTTCCCTCTCCTCCCCTCCCCTCCTCTGCGCCACGGCCCCGCCCACCAACGTTTGAATATTGCTTGTCCGCAGATCCAGGCTTGTCTCTTGAGGAACAACCGCACAGACCCCGCCTCTTCTGATCGCGCCTCCCGCCTGCAGCCACTGGGTCTGGTCTCAAACCCCTCGGAGCAGGTCAGTGTCCCCTCCTCCGACCTTGAATATCCACGGTGGGGCGGGGGTAGGAGAGGAAGAGCCGTGGCACCTGGGAGCCTCCATGAATCTTGAGAGCCCGACTTCACTGGGACCAAGATGTCTGTGTCTGTGGTCCCAGCAAATTCCTCTCCTTGGTCTGTAGCCGGACCATAGCTCCTCAGATAGGCTCCTGAGGTAGCAACACCTTTTGCTACCTTACTTTAAACATTTAAACAGGCTTTTCTGTTAAAGACAAACCCAAAAACGATTCATGGCCGTCGAGTTGTTTCCCACTCATAGTGACCCTCCATAGGATTTCCAAGGCTATAAATCTTAATGGAATCCACATCTCTCTCCCATGGAGTAGCTTTTGGCTACCAGCTGAGCACTTAACCACTGTACCACCAGGGTTCATTGTTAAGTATTTAAAAAGCCTTCCTCACTAAAAAGTGGGTTGCAGCCCCATCTCTGACTTCCCCTTCACAAGGTTTCCCTCCCCTGTGCACTGAGCTCCCTGTGCAGCCAAACACAGTGGCCCCTTGTCTTCCTTCATCTGCCTCCACTATTCTGCTCTTTTCGTGAGCTGTTCTTACCCCTCAATTCCCAAATCCTACTTCCCTTAAGCTCCAGAGCTCACACATCTCAATCTAAACATTGTGCAGAAGCCTCACACCCTTTACGTCTTCCACAAATCTGTCTACCAAACACTGGCACATCCTTCCAGATCTCTCCTGATCACATTAGAACTCTCACAGACCTCCCTGGTCCTGTCTCCTGATCAGTACTCAAACCAGCTTTCCTCCCCTCCTTAACCATCCTTTCTCCCCTGGTTCTTTCTCTCTGGGCACCTCATTCCCACTTCTGGCCACCTCACTCCCACTTCTGGCCACCCCTCAGACTATATCCTTGACACGTAGAGATTGGTGGACAGACAGCTTCTAAAACACAGACCTAATAGGCCCTTTCCTTCCCATTCTGGACACTTCTCCATACTCATGGGAACTCACTGCTATCAAGCTGACGACAACTCATCACGACACTTTAGGACGTAGTAGAGTTGCTCTCCAGAGTTCCCAAGCCTGTAAATCTTCGCAGAAGCAAACTGCTCCATCTTTCTCTCATGGAGCAGCTCATGGGTTCTGACTGCCGACGTTCTGGTTAACAGCTGAATGCTTTAACCACTATGCCTCAGGGCTCCTATACCCATGAGAAGTGTATATAAAGTCCCTAAAATGAACCAAGGAGGGAATGCTGCTCTCCCTCCTGGAGCTAGTAGGGTTCCTAAGTGGTTGGCATGATGCATTGGCTTCAGGACCTCATTCACCGTCAAGACCGTGGGAGGAAGGCAGGCAGAGTCTGGGAGGCTAAGAAGGGACCAGGCTGGGACTGATCCCTGATGCCCTCCACCCCACACACCTCCAGGAAGTGAATGAACTATGTCAGTCGATGCAGGAGCATGTGGAGCTGCTGGGCTGCGGGGCTGGACCCCAGGGTGAAGCTGCTGTGCGCCAGGCTGAAGATGCCATCCGCAACGCCAACTTCTCTCTCAGCGTGAGCCTCCCCCTTCCAAGAGGACCCTTTCACTCTTAGTCAGGCTTCAATCTGCACCTCCTTTTCCTCCTTGGCCCCCAGGTTCTCCCCATTCTATATGAGGCTGGGAGCTCCCCAAGTCATCGCTGGCAGCTGCAGCAGAAGCTGGAGGTCCTGCTAGGACAGGTGGGCGAGGTCTGCCGCCAGGACATCCAGGTGAGATAGCAGCCCTGCCCCAGTTCAATCTCCACGTGCAGGCCTGACCCCCATCCTGTAGGCCTGACTGTAATGTTCCCAGAGCCAGTGCCTGTCAGGGTTAGAGTAAAGTCAGGTGACCTGGGCCTTAGCCACACCCTCACCACGCTCTGACCTTTGTCCAGGACTTTACTCAGTCCACGCTGGATACAATGAGAAGCCTCAGCCCACGGATGCTGCAGGGACCTGGCTGGAGGGAGCAGCTAGAAGGGGTCCTGGCAGGCTCAAGGGGCCTCCCAGAGCTGCTCCCAGAGCAACTACTGCAAGATGCCTTCACTAGGCTCAGGTAGGCCGCATGGGGCTGGGCTGAATACAGTGGGGACAGGGCCAGCACACTAACTTCTGACCTCTCCTGCCCTCAGGGACATGCGGCTGTCGGTCACAGGGACCTTGGCAGATAGCATTGTGGCTCAAGCTCTGGCGGGTTTGAATGCAGCCCGAGATCGGCTGGTGAGAGGGAGCTGTGACACACCCCACACACGCATGCACTGCGCACACCTACATGCACACTGCACACACACACACATATATACAGGCTGAAATGTCTCCTGGATAGTCCAGGAGTACTTCAGGGGTCCCATAGCACAAGTGTGAACATTGCTGAGGCCCTCCCTGCCTATCTTTGGGGGTGCCTGGTATTACAGGTAAGGAGTTTGGTGGTGCTGTGGTTAAGCATTTGGCTGCTAACCAAAATGTCAGTAGTTTAAGATGAAGCAGTCTGCTTCCATAAAGATTTGGAAATCCTATGGGAGCTCTGGTAGCATAGTGCCTAAGGCACTTGACTGCTAACCAGAAGGCTGGCAGTTCAAACCCACCAGCCACTTCTCGGAAGGAAGGTGGGTCAATCTACTTCCGTAGTGATACTGCCTCGGAAAACCAAGGAGGGGGTCCCTGTGAGTCGGGTCTGACTCGACGGCACATAACAACAAACAACATATGGGGGTCACTGAGTCAGAATCAACTCTATGGCAGTGAGTTTAGTTTGGTTTTGGTATTGTAGGTGGAGAGTTTGGCTCAGCAGACACTAGTGGCATTGCCCCCTGCCTTAACAGCATTGGATGGAGGCGAGCCCAGCCCCCTTGAGCCTGGGGAACTGGAAGGCCTTTTTTTCCCGGAGGAGGAGGAGGGGGTAGGTGGTCCTTGCTCTATGGACGTAGGACCTAGATCTCCCCATTCTGCTCTGGAGTTGGGAAGGTAGGGAGGTAGTTCATCTGGGGTTGTGCTCCCCTACCTCCAGGCTGAGTCTGTGCCCTCCTCAGCAGAATGACAGTCCTCCACGGAAATGGCCTGAGTCCAGCCATTGTCTTTGCCTAGTCCCCTCCACACACAGTGAGTCAGGGTCTGGGGGAAAGGTGGGGGTTAGCAGGGTTGGGCTGAAGCTCCATTGGGCCTGGGGACCTGGACACATTCAGTCTTGTGTTGGGCACTGGCTAACCTTTGACTGGGCCAGGTCCGGGCCCCGTGAACCTGCAAGGTCAGGGCTCTCCTGTGGTCAGCACGGAGATAGACCTGAGCA